AATGGAGGAGAAGGGATTGCGGCATAACCATCCCCCCTGGGGGGTGATTTCTCACTTTCTGTCTCTCTGTCCCTTTCTGTCTTTCTGGCGAGCGTACACATCCTACAGCAAAAACCTCTCCAAAAAAAAAAAAAATCATATTAGGTGTATCCCAAGAGGAGAATGGAGGAGAGAAGAGATTTGGGTGTGGCCATCTTCCCTAGGGGGTGATTTCTCACTTGCCCTCTCACTGTCTTTCTCTTGGCAAATGTGTGTGCCCTACGGCAAAAAGAAAAAAGAAAGAAAAACACGTCAGGCACATATTCAGAATCCTATCCAAGGACTCAGGGATGCTCGTTTGAGAGGAAACAGAAACCAGGTCTGTGACACTCACTACTTGACAAAGACAAGAGTTGGTGAATAATGAAAGGAACTTATTAATTTAAAAGAACTATTTAATTTTATTTATTTTATATTTTTGCTATAGGGCACATGCGCTCACTGGAGGCAGAGAAAGAAAAAGTGAGAAAGCAAGCCACCAAGTCCAGGATTCAAACTTCAGTTCGCCATGTGGCAGCCCAGCGCCCCAACCACCATGCCACCTGCTAGCCCCAAAAGGAATTTATTAACTGAAAACATGCCACCTGCTAGCCCCAAAAGGAATTTATGCAGACCAGCACAAGGGAGAAAGTAGACTGGAGTCCATAACTGTGTCTGCTGTACTGGACGAGACACAGAACTTATGTGGGGTATGGGAAGGGGTGAGTGTACATTTATAATCAAAGGCCAAGTTATTCCTTGTCTTGTGGCAAAATGAGGAGTCCTAGTCATTGTCTCTGGGCAGGATCATAAGGAGACCTGATTGCCTCAAGGGAGCAATCACTGCTTGGGGGTTAGGGGGGGAGCAGTATTCTTTCTGGACAGGCAGAGTGGAATGACTGCCCTTCAGTTTCTTGCAAGGGACTTAAAGATAAGCAATGATTAACCAGGTGGCAGAAGCAAAATGGAGTTAGTCAAGACAAGAGCTAGTTAGATCCTGGCTTAGAAGCAGTGAAAGTCTAGGTGTTGCTTCACAGTGTTTGAGCTGATAGTCTTCTTAGCCGGTCATATGGGAAAGGGCTGGTGGAGTCTTCTCCTTCCCTGTCACCATAGGCTGGCATCTGTAAAGATTCAGCAAGGTAACTATTAACTTGTATTAGAGAAGCATTTGGTTCAATCCATTGAGAGGAAGGTAAGAGGTCAGTTATTTTACTTATTATTATTTAATTTACTATAGGGCACGTACACTAACCAGAGAGAGAGAGAGAAAGTGAGAATGCAAGCTGCCAGGTCCTGGACTCAAACCACCATTTTCCATATGAGAGTCCAGAGTCTTAACCACCACACCAACTACCGGCCCCAAGGGGTTAAGTTATTAAGATGGACTCCAAGACTAAGTACAAGATAGAGTACTCTGGTGATCTACGGCTTGGTTACACCTGGGAGAGGCCATTGTTCTCTCATCATGAGAGAATACATTTCTGTCCTACTAAGCCAAAGTGCGGTTGTGGAACTTTGTTCCAACAGTCCTAGAAAACCAACAGAGGCAGGTTTGTCTCCCCAGGTCACTGTATTCAGCTCAGAGTCCCTGGGAGCTCCCTGACATAGGCTGCAGTTAGAGCCCAAAGCCAGCCTCCACCCTTATCCTGCTGCCTTATGTTCTTCCCCACTCCCAGACATCTCTCCATGGACAGCCTGATCAGCTCTGATATCCCATTCTTACTCCTGTCTGACACTCTCAACACACACACACATACCCCACACGCACACCCGTGCACTGCATACACATATCCCCTTTTGAAGCCCAGCCATTAATTCTGCCATTGCCATGAAACATTTGACTGAAGTCTCCCAGTTTTGCAGCAGGTGACTCAACACCCAGAAAGGGACCAGTGATCCCTGGAGCCAGCACGGGGCCACATGAATGAGGCAGCAGGACCTGAGCTTCTGAAGGTGGGGAGGAAAAGAGGCAAGTTTCCAAAGAAAAGCCAACAAGACCCTGGGAGGGGAGGAGATGGTGATGTGAGAGAGATGAAACTTCGAGTTAGGTAGCTGGAGGAAAAAACTGCCCTGCAGAAGGGGTGTGGGTGGATGTACCATTGGGGTGCTTTGGTTTTCAAGTTCAGAGGGGCATGCAGGCAGAGAGGGCCTAAGGCATTGGGAGAAGGTGGCCCTGGGGGATGTAAATACAGGCCTTTGGCTGCTCACCCACACCTAGGCCGTGAGCCTGGGCTGAGCAAGCCCTACTGAGTAGCCTCAGAGGAGAGCCCAGAATGATGAGAGGCTCACATTAGCCGTCAGAGAGAGGCTTCCAAGCCACAGCAACTGGCTGTGAGGCCTTGTCCAGTTACATGGTCTATCTAAGCCTCAGGCCCTCCTCATAAGGAGGGCGAATTATGTTTCCTCCATCAGAGGGGTGACTGGACACCTGAAAGAGAGGGAGGCCTACAAACAATGTTTCCTTTTTTTAAAGTTTATTTTTTATTCATGATAACATTTTTTGTGAGAGAAGCACTCTCTAGAGGGAGCCTCCGTGGCCCTCCAGCTCCGTGGGTTCTTGGGTATATGTGCACACGGCATGTTTTCAGCCAGAGATCCAAACCTGCTGTTTGTTAGGTGGCTCCCAGCATACCAGTTCGTTTTTCTACTGACCACACCCCCAGGCTGGGTCTAACGGTGCTGCTTTCTGCTATTTGACTTTGGGGCAGGTTACCCAGTCTCACTGAGCTTCCATTTCCCATATAGAAGGAAAACAGTAATCCCCACTGACAAGCGAGCACCCCAGTAAGGGACAGAGGCACCCGGCATGATGGACATGCCATCAATGTAGCTTTCATGGGTGGTGAGGAGACTTTCACCGACTGGGACACATTCTACCAGTTCGGGTGGCCTCCTTGGGTGTCTGTCTACTGTAGCAAACCCCCCCGAGGACAGGGACGTCTACCTAATCCGCACCCCCACGACCTGGCCTCTACTCATCACTGAATATATAATACTGCTGATACATAACAGTGCTGGGCACTACGCCAGGTGCTGCATGCTGAGCATGCGGCTGTAGCAAGGTGGCCAAATGCCTGCCATCAAAGAGCTTCAGAATCAGGGAGGAGAGGAGAGTGGGAGAAAGACAGCACACGGACAGATAAAACTATGAGAGATGATGTGAGATATGAAATAAAATATGAGTGACAAGCCCAGAGCAGACATTACCAGAGGCTATAAATTGAGTGATCAGGGATGGCCTCCCCGAAGAGGTGACATTTCTGCTGAGGTCCAAAGAAATCCAAGGAACAGCCATGAGAGAAGCAGGTGAAGAGCATTCCAGGTGACCAGAAGACAAGAGCAGAGAGCCGGGTGGGCACGGGTGGGTGTGTGCCAAACACACCC